TTCAGTCTACAGCAGTGTCACTCAGGCTGCTGTGCGAGCTGGAAAGCAGGGGGAAGCATGTGGCGACAGAACAATCCAGGTGGAGCAAAGCAGAGTCCCTGCTCTCATGGAGTTTACCCTCTGGTAAAACAGGGATAATAATAAAAATGACCCCTTGCGGTTGATTGAATGAATAGAGTATGTAAATTGCCCCAACAAATGAAAGACTAGAGGACATTTTGAGTGGCAGACTCCCAGTTCTACAGAAATAGAACTGTAGAATAGTCTTATAAAATCATAGAATGACGTGTTGCTTCCACAGCAAAACGCCGCCTCTGAGTTTTTATTCTTTGACCTTATTCTGGAGCCCAGATGCTGAACCCTACACAACGACAAAAACGGGATGGTGCTGGAGAAGGCGTGGTTACTCTAACGAGCAGGGAGCTGGGACGGTATCGTAACACGTAGTTTGTCCTTCTTGTAATAAGCATCCTCTTAGTTAAAAGCATTACGTTTCTTCTTGAGTAATAGATATTTGAGATGACTTCTTTTAACTCTAAGTGGGCTCCTTGAGGTGGAAAGTTAACCACAGAGAGATCATCAGGTAAGAGAAGAGGTCCTGGGATGGAAGCCTGGTGGACATGTTCCTGAACATTCAAAGGTGGGAGAGGCAACAGCTGTAGAGACAGGGAGAGCAAGAGCGGGCAAGGAGGAGGCGCAGCAAGGGAGCGAGGTAGGAATCGGCAGGCGGAGGTCCAAGGTGGGGCTGTGAGCAGGACCTGGCCATCGGGACATTGCTGCCATCAGTGGCCTCGGAGGATTTCAGGGAGCAGTGGGCTGGGGACTATATGGAGGGTAAAGAAGAGACAATGAGAGCAGGAAAAATATCCTGGATACCTGCCTGTGAAAAAAGAGAGGGGTAGATATTTACGTAGACCAGGGAAACATGGAGTTGAGAGAGAGTTTTTCAAGTGAGGAATGGTTAACATCGGTCTAGTGGGGACGGAGCTTTCTTCACAGGTGAAACCAACCAATGACTCTAAAAGCGAGAAAGAAATTGTTTTGGAAGCATCCCCTGCATCCTACCACAAAGGCCCTCGATCTGGGGTTCTTCTCAAGGGTAAGCTGCCTGGGATAGCTTTCAGGCGGGGCTCTGCTGCTACATCAATATAGTCCGAAAATTGAGCTGCCGGAGGGTCATCCTGCCGGCATCCCTTCCCCACCTCTTTTTTTTTTTTTTTGACTTAGGCTGGATTGATTGACTGATTGATTTTTAATTAGTTTCAGCTGTGCAAAACAATGTACTAGACATTTCACCCCTCACGAAGTGATAACCTCCCTCCCCCAATCTATTGCCTCTCTGCGCTGTATACCTGAAGCTGAAGCTGAATAATATTGTATGTCAACTATGATTTAATATATATATATATATAGTCACAGGATGTGGAGTACAGCATAAGGAATAGAGTCCATGGAATTGTCCCACCTCTTCTGTCAATGCCCTTCTCCCACCTCACACACAAAAGCATCCATCTTAACAGCTTGTGAAAATGGCGGGGGCTCCAAACGATAGGGCTGGCTTGAAAAAACTGGCATTGCAATGTCTTCTATAATCCAGGCAGCCCCCTACCCCGCCATCCATCTAATGAGAGACATTTTCAATAACACTTTAATTTTTATCCCTTATCATTATCAAAATAGTGATATATCTGTACATTACAAAATTGATTGATAATAAAATTATGAAGATAATTAAACCCAGAGGATTTCTTTTTTTTTTTTTTTTACAAATAGAGCCTAATGATCAAAAGAAATTAAACTTTAACTCATAAACATTTTTATCACAGGGGAATATGACAGGATGATCAAAAAGGCTCACACATAAAAATATATTGCATGAAAATAGAACTGTGTGGAGGAAGTAGAATAGATACAGGATTTCAAAGGAGAAAAGGAGAGTAAAAATTTTAATCAGCTCTTGTGTGTTTTCAATGGACAATGACAGGTGCCAAGCTGCTATGGTAGTTATTTTTCCACTGATATATAGTTTTAAAGTAATGTTGCAGTTTTAGTTTAAAACGCAAATACAGTAAGCTAGAAATGTGGCCTCACAACTATTCAAACCTATGATTCAGAACTTTTGGAGGGCAACTTTTAAGTGTGCAAGAAAGCCCTTAGTTTTTGAAGGCTGTTTGGGGTACATGAGCAGAAACGTTTGACAGCCATCGGCATAAGGGATCACAGGAAGGCTGAACGAGCATTGGCAAGGATGGGACGGCATAGGGCACCTCAGTCCCTGGGCTTCGTGGGCTCTGTGGGCACCACCACTGGCACAAGTCAGCCCCTACCCTATTACACACCTGACTTTCATTTAGCTTGAGCCCAGTTCTGGGGAAAGGGAGGCTGAAAAGGGCTGGCATGAGCTGTGCTCACTGTTTGGAGGGGCCTGGGAGACACTGAGTAAAGGTTGCAGCAGGATCCCTTGAAATGTGGGGGTGCAATTCTCCCAAAGTTAATGCAGTGTGATTATTTTTTAAAAGGCAGTTTGGGTCGGTCTGGGAAGGGGAGTAACAGCCATTGCAAACACGTTCAAGGGGAAGCTACAAAGAAGTGAGGTTACATGATGGCTGGGGGGGGGGGTCCAGAACAGATCCTGAACACAGGGACAGGGATTAGACAGGTGGAGGGACTCCACTTATGTCATGGCTGGAGCGAGGAGGACTAGGAGAGGGTGCGGGGAGTTTGCACGTGGGCTGAGAGGAGGTCCAGAGGGGAGGCCCGATGGATAGTTTCCAGTGTTTCTATGAGGAGGGGGAAGAGATATCCACTCGGGATGAGGGCCAAGTGGAAAAGGAGTTTCGGGATGCTGGAGATGGTATTCTCTCAATTATTTTCTTGTCCTTTTCAAGACTTTGTGTTTTTAAGAGTCTAATGCGGGCCGTCCGGGTGGCTCAGTTGGTTAGAGCACATGCTCTTAACAACAAGGTTGCTGGTTCGACTCCCACATGGGATGGTGGACTGCACCCCCTCCCCTCCCCCCGCAACTAGATTGAAAGCAGCGACTGGACTTGGAGCTAAGCTGTGCCATCCACAACTAAGATTGAAGGACAACAACTTGACTTGGAGCTGATGGGTCCTGGAAAGACATAATGTTCCTTTCCCCAATTCCTCAACACTGTTCCCTTCCCCAATTCCCCAATAAAATATTTTTTTAAAAAAAGAGTAACACTCTCAGCGAATGGGCACACAATTATAATCTACATACCTACTACCTCCTCTGGCCTTTTCTCCCTCTAGACAGTCAGTCTCCCCTCTGGGTCCCACAGCCCTTTGTACACAACTCTTAGGGCTCTGACCACTTTCATTACCCAAGTGTTGAGGACGAAGGGGATGGCAGTAAATTCTAGTCTTAACTACGATGGCTCCCACACATGTATCCCACACAAGTCCTTCCATAGTGGACTCAAACATGATTTGATAGGCCTTCTTAAGGTGTTTTTATTAGGGTGCACGAGAGGTCACCGCTAAATTCCCTTTTCAGAGTGTTCTCTGACAGTGTTGGAAGAACTGGAGTGCTTTCGAATGCTGCTGTGCACAGTCCCCTGATGAGGTGTCCAGACCGACACCTGAGGGAGTGTTCCTCCTCCTGTCTAGCTCTCACTCTCACATACTCGTCAAGGAAGCACTTTGTATATAGTTTGTTCTGAGACGCTCCTCATAGCTAAGAGTCAAGATAGTCATTCCAAGGCCAGAGCTGTGTGGTTAGAGAATGACGACCACCCTTCTCTTTTCTCCTTTCCCTAATCAGATTTATGTTCTTTTCCAACTTTTAAGTGAATTTCCTAAGCATCTCTAAGTAAAACGAGGTTAGAACAAACACCAAGAATTAGGTCAAGGCTTTTAAGAATCCTAAGAAAAAAGTATCTTCTCTGAGCTGAACTATTGAATCGGAGTCAGCTTGAGAGAAGTAAGATGTGAGGTCTATGGTTAGTCCTTTAAAATAATGCAGCATTCCAGATGAACCCCACTCTAAGAATCTATGAAATATCACCATTTACAAAATGGGTCGGGGGGAGTGGGGAGTAAGAAAATGATTTATAAATAAAACCTGTGATGGTCAAGCTTCCTTTAATGAAATCCACCGGTGGATTTAGTCTACCAGAATTTAAAGTACAGTTTTAACATAGCAATTCCACATGCTAAGTGATATGTGTACAGGAATATTCATAACAGCTTTTTTATAACAGCAAAAGGTTGTCCTTTCACAGGGTACTGGCTTTAATAAATTACGTGCGTAATAGAATACTATGCAGCCTTTAAGAGAATGGAAGGGCCTTGACATGGCAAGATCCCCAAAATATACTGAATTTAAAAGCAGGGTGAAGAGGTATAAAGAATATGCTATCATTCCTGTAGAAAAATACATATGCAGGTATATTTGTAAATACACAGGGCATTTCTGAAAAGATAAGCAAACACTGGTTATAGTACTTACCTGTAGAGAAACAGGTGGTTGGGGGGAAGGGGAGGGTGATTTTTTTGTTTTAAGTGCATGTGTTACCTCCTGAAAATTTTCTATTACAAACACACTCCCACCTATTACAAAACATGTTTTTATATCAATGTGGTACACCCGTGTTGAAAAACAGGATTGTTGCCGATTAACTTCTAGAATAGCCCAACCTAGACTATTTTTGTCAATCGAAAACATGGGTTCTGTTAACTATCATATTGGCAAGTCAACCATCTATGTGGCCTCAGAACTCTTCATTTGAAAATGGTGGGCTCAGACTAGCAGGTACTTTGAATCTCTTTCTAGTTTAAGATGTTGTGATTATATGACTCCATTATGCAATATTTGAAAAAAATACAATAAATTCGTAAAGAGAATCAGTCCATGTCAGATGGCGAGGGGTTATGTGACAGAAGTAACTGTATATATTTTATTCTTAAACCACATAAATTCCCTTTCATTTCTATTCCATTTGTATTTCAAATACCCAAGGAACAAAAGAGGCATATTCAACTGAAGAAATTTATTTACTTTTTTTTTCTAGGTACATAGATGACATAATTATAGACAAGTTTTGATACATAGGAAAACCCTTCTGTCCTTTCTCTTTGCTAAATGAATCATCACAATAATTTTTACAATTTTTAAAACAATACACAGCTTTCTTGGGCTGAAGCAATTGCAAGAACATATTGGTACTGGTATATTACAGCTACTTACAATGTTTAAGAACAGCAATGGAGAAAAATAAGTTATTTAAATATTGATTTCATATACAGAAAGTGCAATGTTGTTAGTTGTTATATAACTTGCTTGACAGTTTCCTGTTTTCTCTATCAATTTAAAATCAAGATAACTTGGACTCAGACTACTATATTTATTTTTCTGAAAATAATACAGTACACACATGCAGCACTGACTTGGTGAATTGACTTCTTTTTGCTGCAGTTATGAAAGCAAACTTTGCTATGTCAGGAACTGATTTCCAATAGACTAGTAATTTCCGATTTCACCCACACCCGGGTTCAGGACAGAGACTAGGGCTTCTGACTAAGGCAAAGCCATGAAAATCTATCTCCCACTTGGCTATGTGGGAATGTAAATAGTGGTTGGGGCTGGCCGCGTTTCCTTCTAGACAGCTTCAAAGTAAACATTTACACAATTGATGTGTAGCTACCTGAGCTGAACTGCCTTTCCAGGTTTCTTTTGTGCTTTCCAAAACCAATTTTCACCATTCCTCCACCTTCTGTACCAAGTGCAACTGATTAAAATTAGGTATTGCTGACACCTGTCTCCTACCCTCCACAGGCAGCCCCAAGCCACCTCAGTCAATGTCACACACAAACACCGAGGCTTTTCTAGGATCAAATGAAATGTGTAAAGCAAAAGAAGACCACCAAACAAATACTAACGATTAAAAAAAAGAAAAAAAAAGATTTTAAAGAGCACAATAAAGTAAAAACAATCTCAGACCCCTCAGATTAGGAAGATCTTCCCACCGTAAATTACTCATGGTCCCTGAATTAGATTTTTCTACGCAAAGGCAATGATTTCCAAAGAACTGTGACAAAAACACGGTTTGGCATTCTCAAAAGCTCAAGGTCAGAAAATTCCCTTCCCACGTGCCACTTTTACTTAAATGAAAATGTTACACAGAACATGAACTAAAACTTGGAAATTCACATGAGATTGCTCCTTCCGCTTTGTTACCTCTTATATGACTTTTATGTGGGGTTTTTTTTTTTTTTGCTCAAACTATGAGCAGGATTTTTCAGAAAGCAGGATGAGGGTCCATTTGACAGCACCCATCTCCACCGGAGCACTTGCAGTTTCAGTGATGTGGTTATCGGAGAGCCCTGCAGCCTCGTTACTTTCCAAATGCGCTATGCTGACAGGAAGGTCACAACCAAAGGTGACAAAACTGGGCTGTTTTTAAGAGTTCAATAGAAACTTGGTAGCTTCAGCTTTTTATTCTAGATTTCCACAACTTCCTCACATGGCATCTTATGGAAGGTATTACTGAATATATATTATTGTTTAAAATGCACACCAAAGCATGAAAAAATATATCACCTGAGAACGTCCTTTTCCTCAGAAACATGGATACAAGTATATAAAGCAAACACTAAAAATGGCTTTGTAATTAATGACATTACTTTTTTTTTTTTCCCTGAGGGAAATCATTTGTTTTTGTGAGTAGATGAAATATTACAGAACTTTTCTGATCAAGGCTTTGTGTTCAAAATGTTTCTATTTTAAATGATCACATTCAAAGCTTAAGAATGCTGCATGAGAAGAACGTAAAGGGAATTCATTTTGTACGCAATGGAAACCTTAACATATTGTTTAGTTGTCTAAATTTCTGTTTGCTAGAAAATCAGACACAAGACTAAAAGGATAGACTAAGTGTTTGCTGAAATCAGCTGGAAAACAACTGAAAATATGCAAATACTTAATACATGGGTAACGTGGCTTGCCTGGCTCCAAAATGAACCTTTATTTGAGTTAAAAGAATTGTCTAAAGAAGAAAAACATCTTAATTGTAAAACTGAAAAAAAAAAACACCAAAAAAAAAAACCACTTTAAAACATCTTATAAACTACTTCCCTTTAAAAAAAAACATCTTTCCGAAATAGTCACCCTTACCATGACTCTTTGCAAAGGTGATCTGTTAGCTGATGACTGAATTATTGGAATGGACATGGTCAGGGGTCCAAGTCAATACTGCAACACGATGACCGACACGATAATGATACTAAGCTGATTACAATGGAAGGTAGTTACTATAAACACACCCACACACCCACACACACTCGCAGATACACACGTCATATCTTTGTGAATTTCAAATAGTTGGTTTTTTTTTTACTGGATTTGTAGTTAGTTTAAAAACTGAAAGCCAACATGAAATTTGTGCCTGATAAACACCCCTACAAAATAAACCACGTTGGAATGAGACAATTAGAAAAGCCCATTTTTGCTGAAAACATCCCAGATATGTTAAATGGCAGTCTACGCTGAAGATTTGGAACTATGGTTACAGGGTGGTGAACGCTAGTTAGATAACTGCTTAAAAGCTTATATTAAGGCAAATAAAAGCTGATTGCTAGAAAGCAATTAAAATGTCTCTTGTTTATCTAAAGGAGAATAGGACATTTTTTTTTTCCTAGTGCAGCCAGATTTTCTTACTTTTGAACCAATGAGCATGGTCAACAGTGTACAATCACTCCCGAGTCTGTGACTTTGGCCTAACTAAGCCCATCTGGCCCTCAGGTAGCCTGCAGGGTGATAGACAGAGCGCAAGGGCACTACCAGAAACAGGCTGCCCCTCCCTCTGCCCCCAGTCCTCTCCCAGTGTCCCAAGACAGACTGGAGGCATGGCATTTGTGGCAAGTTGGCATCTTGGTTCTAGCGTGTTCTGAAAATAAAAATAAGCGCTGTCTTTTCTTTGAGGGGAGGGAGAGTGTCAAAGAGAACTGCACCAATGTTCTCAGGGGGGCTTTTCTGGAGAAGAGAGGGTCACCGGTCCCGTGCGACGGTTCCGTGCTGCGTGGCCACACACTTGGCCTTTCTTCTGGATCTGGTCTGCATGTCCAGCAAAGGGGAAATTGCATCAGCGTCATAAGCACAGTGAAAGGGTGGCTCTTGTCCAGGGAGGTCCAGTCAAGGCCTGGCTACATGGCCTCGGGGCCTGGCGGCAGTTTGAAGAGTCTGGCTGCAGACACGAGCTTGCTTATGTGTCTCTCCTCTGTGATGCCGGCCTGCTGAAGGCAAGTGTGGGACAGAGAAGGCACTTGGCCCAGTGAGCTGAAGCCCGCTTCCGTCAGGGTGGTGGTGTACATGGGCAGGCCGATGGAAATCAGCCAATCCGACACGGACGAAACACATCCGGGAGAAAGGGGCTTTCTACAGATTTCTGTGAGTCCGCCACTTGGGATCTGGGTGAAGAAAGAAAGCAATTTTATAAAGATTGCATGTGCCTTTGGAGGGCTACTTCTCGCACTCCTAAAAGGAACACTACTAACATAGTCCACTGTTAGACTATCTGAAAGCGATGGTGCTAGAAGATGTCAGAGGTCAAGAGCAGCATGGAGGAGTCTTTCTTGACTTCTCAAAGGTGAGACAAATTTTCAAGGAACTGGTTTGAGCTTCTAGAAGGTACCTGGAATTAGATGTAACCTCAATTATGTGTCCAAGTTTCCAAACTGTAAGCATTTATATTTCTGGCTATTTTTTCCTGTGACATGTTCTTCAAGGAGAGAGCCCTAAGGTGATGGAAGAGGCAATACTGTGCGATAGTGTGAGAAGTAAGATAGATACTCAGCGGGTAGGGTGTTTGTTGATAAAGTAGATTTTCCACTATATTTTGAACCTACATTAATGACTGGAAGATGAACATTTTATCGATACAGTTAATAAAGAATCTAAAATATAATAATACCAAGCATTGGCTAGGGCAGGACAATGAACATTTATAGTGGACTTCTGGGAAGACCAAGCACTACACCTTTCAGAAAGGTAATTTACTATCAAATGTAATTCCCTGAGATTTTGTGCAGTCTTGATGAAGGAAACCCTCTTATAGGAATGTATCCTCATAAATTAACCTTGGTTGTCTACGAAGATTTATTTAGGATGTTCTTTACCACATCACTTTAAAAAACTGGAAAGAATCTAAGTGTTTCACTGGCTACACTAGGTCACATTCACCTACTAGAACCCTTTGAAATATTGACATATGACAGAATTTGTAGGAGCAGAGCAATAGATTCATGTTCTGATAAGGGAAAACAATCGAGTTTCAAAACTGTGCACTTACTATTGTATACCTACAGAGACATGACTAGACGGACTTAACTTTTTCATAGTGCTGGGATTATGGACAATTTTTATCTTTTTCTTTCCAAAACTGAATTTTTCAAACTTTGCAGGTTGATTAGGTATTGCTTTCCCCCAGGTGTCTCCCTTCTATTGCTATAATGAACCGCGGGCTACTTAGCGGGTTGCTGGTTCCAAGCGTGACCTTTATTTAAGCTCTGTAAGTAAATGGACTCAAAGAGCAGGGAAGGGAGACCAGACGTGCCCACTGCTCACCGCCATGCGGTGCTGCTTCCGAAGCAGCTTCACGCGGATCTGGTCCATGCTGGTGGCCACGTCCCTCTCAGGCTGATCCAAGTCTTCTGCGTATCTCTGAACCAGGGCTTCAGGGATCCCACAGCGGCCGTGCTGTGAGGGAGAACAGAAATGTGGTATCTGGGGTTACTGCAAGGATCTTTTTTCTTTCTCCAAAAACAACAGACATAAGGTAGGGTAAGACATGTAGCTAATGCAAAATCATCACCAAGTGTTTTAATTTGAAGTGAATGTATTTTCTTCAGCGTCTGCATGTTTTAGAGGGAATACTTTTACATCTTTATCTTTCAGGCAGTGATGAGCTCTAGGAAAACGTTTTCAAACATAATTAAAGCAGAACACAACCATCCTATATTTTGGGGGCCAATGCCCTCACCTCACTCTTCCTGATCATTTTGCAAAATGTTATGGAACACAGTCACCCGAACTGCAGGGCAGAAAGGCAAACTTCAGCTCTAGAGACTGTCTACTGCGACTGCCTCATCTATTCAGAGCTGTTCCGCCCACGTCACCAGGCCAGCATTTCTTGTAGAGTAGAATTCTCACAAATTTCCATTCAAAAGGGTTTATTCCCTGGATATTAAGGAGGAGGATCTTACTGTAAGGCATTCATGGTCACAGAATTTTATAACAGGACTTCCAGGATGGTATTATGACCGTATGATTGTATTATTTCATTTCTATGAGCAACAGACATCATCTGTCTTAAAAGTCACTGTGGTATTATTAGTAAACCTATTCTTTTGTGCTGTTGTTTTCTACTGAGGAATGAGTTTTCTTTACAGATCTCAATGTTTTGGGTACAATGGGATTTCCACATAATCTTCTGCACCCCTCCCACCCCCATTACCCACACAGACAACTGTACAATTGTTACATCTGAATAGGGCTCTGCATGTCTTCAAAGTAAGTTCACATTTATTTGTTCCTCCAAGGGGTAGTTATGCGGGTTATTAATTCTATTTTACATCTAGGAAAATGCAGTGAGGACTTGTTCATGGCTCACAACGTGCACGTTAGGACATGAAGACTAGAACTCAGGCCTGTCCTGTCCACGAAACCATGTGTTTCAGGAAGCTGTTCTAGTGCTGACTGATAGTTCTACCTGCAAAGTACAGCTGCCAAAAATGAAGAACAGACAGGCAAAACAGAGAGGGGAAAAAAGATGAAAGAAAAAGGAAAAGAATATCCAAGGCTGTCTTTGCATTTAATCTGGACATTCCCCCACCCCCACCCCGACCCTATTCGTACAACCGCCCAGCGGCCCAGCACAAGCGGCAGAGGCCCCTGCTGTGGACCACCCCGTGCTCTCCCGGGCAGAACAGCCCCCGCCTCTAGGCTGGCCTCCGGGGGCAGCTGGTGTTCCTCTCACCTGGATGCCCGACTTATAAAAGCAGAGGCCCGTGAAGTGGGGCCAGAGCCATTGGTACCTTATCAGAATATGGCTCCTCAGTGAGATCGATGCCTTCGGCTCCTAACTTGTCTTCCGTGAGCATTTCCAGATCGACTCCCCGAGTGCAGGAGATCTTCCTGGTCAAAGCCGGGCCCAGCTTCACGCCGTGTTCCTGGAGGCTCGCGCTCTCAGGCAGCTCTGAGAGCCAGGGCGGTGGCCTCGCGGTGGGTGGGCTGCCCGGCTCCTGCCCTGAGGGAGGCCTAGAAGCCTGAGGGAGATGACAGTCGCTGGGGCTGGGGCCGCTGGGGCCGCCCTTCTTCAGAGGCAGGCACGGTGCATCGAGGGCAGGCGGGTGGAGGCCGTTGGCCAGGCGCTCCCTGCTCTTCTTGGCGGGAACAGGTGGTGGCTGGGCAGGGTGTTTGGCCTGCGTTCTGGCCTCAGGGCCCCTCTGCTCACCTTCTTTGGTGCCTGGGGGGTGATGTGTTCCTTCAAAATCAAGTCCCTTTCTGTGACCCTCGAGAGGAGTCCTCATTAAACTGTGTCTAACTCCGGGAGGCTGAGCATCATAGTTTTTGGGCAAACATGGCGGAGGTGTCACGCCACGTGAAGAGGCTGTTATCGAGCCCCCCAGTTTCTTAGTAGTCATTTTCTGAGGTTCAGAAAATCTCTTGCTTTGGGTCAGTAGCAACGCCTTGTCAACAGCAGAATCTCGTTTGGGGCTGTGAACCTTTGCGACGAACGGGGTTGTCTTTTGTGGCACTTCTGGTGCAATCTGAGGGGAGGGTTCTGTCACTGCACTAGGCACATCTTTTTCAGCATCAGGCTCTCCTTGAAGGTCATCCAGGGAATGGGATCGGGGCCAAGTTTCCACAGGCTGGGGGCCCTCCAGGGTCTCACAGCTCCGACACATGGAAACGGGGAGGCTCCTCCGGTTTTTATTCAAACCAGTCCCACATGGCTGGTCACAGCGCTTGGAGGTGTGAGGGGCCAGACCACCGCCCAGTCTGCCGTCCTCCCCCGGCTTCAGTGAGTCCACCGACTTCGGTAAAGGCAAGGTTGGGTAGTTCCCCAGCTGATTCCTGTTGAAAGACTTCAAGCTGGACTCAGTTGGTGACTTGGCAGAGAGAAGGCCAGTTTTCCGAGTCTTGCCTGCGAAGACAAGGAAATATTTTACAATCACATCTGAAAAGGCACATCAATCAAACGGCTGTATAACGGTGTGCTACCATAATTAAAATCTCTAACTCCTAGATCCCACTGTCGAATTACATACACTAAGGACAGGAAATCACCCTTTTGTGACTTTGGGGGATACCGGGTTATTATGGTCCTGTTTTTATTTTTGGAAAGAATTCTTGGTCTTATGAAAGGACTCAGGGAGACTGAAACAGAGTTACATGGTAAAGAAAGATGCTGTGTCAGGCGGGAAAATAAATCGAGGCCTAATGTCTGTTCCTAGTTGCCATCAGTACGGAAAAACGTTGCTTGTCCACACCCCATTTAGAAACCACACTGATAGGGTCTCTGACTAGTGAGTACCATTTCCCAAGGTCATGTTTGCAAGAGGAGGTGGACTGGGTTCTGAGGCAGGGGCTATAAATGATGCCCTCTGAGGTTCACAGGTGACCACTGGCTTCTCAAACGCCACCTTTGTCCAAGCCCTCCCATCTTAGTGTGTTGTTCACGTATGCAAAATAAATGAATCCTAGACACACTCATCCGACCTTGGCATAAATAAGGGAACACGCTTAAGTGAGTAATTTGCCTGAGACAATCTATAAAATACTGACATGGTTCTAATTATCAGCGAAGCAAGAGCCCTGATTGAAATAAACTGTCAGGCTAATAATTAAACTATCAACCACACATAATCTACTTATTTGACAGTTGTTGATTGATGTTAACTGCTACTAGAGCTTGATAAGCTTTACTGAGAATTACTAGCTATGGATCAGACACTGTGCTAAATGCTTAGCGACTCTCTCTCTCTCTCGCTCTCTCTTTCTCTCTCATTAACTACTGTTACATTTTTGGTTACTACCATGTTTGGTGTGTGCTTTGACACTGGGCTGAAGCTGAAGGGAATGCCTCAGATGAAAAACATATGAGCCAAGGCATCCTAGAAAAAGATAGAAATATTAAACTCACACCGGGTTTGGAAGGTGCAAAGAAACAGCTGGCTCTGATCTCTGAAAAGCCACTGTCTTGCAACTAAAGGTTTTCTTCCCAGTGTGTTGTTTCGGTAAACATTTGTAATTAAGTATTGTAATTTAAAATTCTGACACCTCCCCATTCAGCAATAAATAAATATTTCAATAAAAAAGCAGCAAGGAGAAATTGGGTGGCGGACTGATTTGATTGGGAGAAGAAGAAAGGGTGTGCATAGTGCCAACTCTCAGAAAAAAATGGACACTTTGGGGTAAATGCAAGACATTCTCTGAAAAAATGTCTATGTGCATGCTGCATAAATGAGAAAAGGAACAAAAGAACAGGCCTAAACAGAAGTGGTCTCAGAGATATAGAGGAACAACTGATGGCTGTTAGTTGGGAGAGGGTGAGAATGAGGGAGAAGGGGAAGGGGTTAGACAGCATAAATACGTAACTACAATATTGCCACAGGGACATGAAAGACAGTTCAGGGAATATAATTAATAATGTTGTAAATATTTTGTAGGATGTCAG